AAGGTTATTTTGTGCAAATTGGAAGAAAACATAAGAGGTAATGAAGACTATATTTTATTAAAGCATAACATGGCTGTGACGCCCATATAAGCTAGCGGCTGTTGTTGATAATGTTCTGGATTTATTCCCGATCAATATTTATTTATTTCCTGGTTATTTTTTATTTATTCACGTAGAATATATATCCGAATTCAAAATTTCATGCATCAAAATTAGGAAACTGTAAAAGAAAAAGGCGTTTGGTATAACGCCATACAAAGTGAGCCACTTAATTATTCCTGGTCCTCGGGCGGGTTGAGCAGAAGACACGTCAAATCAGCGCTGAGACTTTGCGAGTTTTGGATATCTGACCAGGAAAAGCCTTTCGCCTAATTGAATGATGAGAAGCCAGAAGATATCCAACACTTGATGTTGGAATGTGAGAAAAACAAACGTAGGCACGAGCTGCTTCTTCTGGAGATGAATCTCAACAGCTGATATTGGCCTCATTGTCTCTATACTGACTGAACCTACTACCGACGCGTCTGTACGTTTATGGGAGCTCGTTTCCTAATTACAAAGAATATAATGGGATTGGCATACCTTTTTAAAGATGAAAATCCCCCTTTTAATAAAGAAAAAAAATGAAGTTTGTTAGTTTATAGCTAAATAAATGTAAAACATTTCCGAACTGCTCCAATAGCTTGTCATACCATGAAACGAAAAAAATAATATAATTAAGCTTTGTGTAAATTCTTCTAAAATTTATTTTTGAACCAACCGAACGGTAGGTGGATAAATTAATTGTCTCCTAAAGCGAATTTTATGACAGATTTTTAATAAAAAAAGAACATTTTTGTAGTCAAACACGAAACGCAATTTCAATGTAAAATAATAACAATACATTTTTGAAAACGTTACCCGTCACAGTCCAAAAAATTGTGAAACACTTTTAAAATTTAACAGAAAATATTTTTTTAAAGTGAAATGAACGATCGATAATATGTAGCAACATCGAAATTTAGCTTTTGATTTCTCGTATCTTACTATAGTCTGGGTGACTTAGCAGCTGGTTGTACACCACGAAGACTTGTGAGAAAATAGGACCATATCTGTCATTGCTCTTTACGCCCTACGAGCTATGCAGATCTAATGCAAATTTTGTTGCTGACGTTAAAAATACAATCTCGAAAATTTTCGTGTTAGGTTCTCTGATTTAATCAATACCTATGTTACACAGTAATGAGATTGCTTTTTATTGGTGAAAGACTTTTTGAAATTACCCTATTACTTCTTGAGTTATTTGAATACAAACGATACAAATCTGTCATCTTTATAATATAAATTTTGGCATATAAAGATATAGACAATTTAATCAAATGTAAAAAGATATAAGGAGAGCCCGGCAAATCACGAGGCATCAGGATCAATCCATCCTATGAAGCCTTAGTTATTTCTTGGTTAGAATCCGAAAATTATAAATTCACTGGAGTAAGCCGAGCTGAGATACCTTTGATGTTACAACTAAAGTCTTCTTAATATTCTTTTTATTTAGTAAGTAAGTTAACAATATTTTTTTAATGATTCGTTTAGTAATAAGTTAAAATAATTGGAAGCATTCATTGAAGGCTTCAGACAGTTGAAATGTCAACAGTTAAAAAAACAAGAAGTTTCCGTCTGTGTAAACGCAAAGTGAAACTGGAACTTTAAACTGTCGTGGTTTTTACAAATGTAATATTCGTAAGATACTGGTTTTATTACCACGATTTAAAACAACCCAATCGTGATAAGAAATCCATATGTTATAAAGTAGAACGTCTCAAGTTAACAATTAGAAAAACCAAAAGTCCAAGTTTTTCCAAAGATTTTTCGCAACAACCTTTTATTTGTAGTACAAAGTAAAAATAAAATAAAATAGTACACTATTTATTGGCCAAAAGCACAACGAAATATACAAAACCCTTAAGCGAAAGCATTATAAAACATCACATCTTGAAATTAACATTTACGGTCAAATTAAGTATTTTATTGAGTGGCACTTAAACAATAGTTAGCTTTTATACTAGTAGGCAATTTATAATGCAAATTGTTTCTCCACTTGGCAGGCGAAAACTCGTGAAATTGGGCCAAATACATCGTCGAATATCTGCTTACGGTAGCTCCTTGCATTTTATTTTTAGAAACGTACATGTCAACAGTTAATTGTCGGAAAATAATACAAAAAGGAAACTGATCCATCAAAGAAAAGGGGACAATTTTTCGATTAGTGTAACAACGAGAAGGGATTCAATATCGACAATTAAAAAATTTACTGCCCAATATTTCGTTGTCGACATAAAAGAGAATTTAAAACTTAGTTTAAAACATTTGTAAAATCGTTAAATTTACGTTTTAAACAACAATTGTAGTTACTCATTACATTTTTAGACAAACAAATCGTACAATTTTCTAACACCTTCATAATAACTATTTGTATAGAAAAATAATACAGTCCACTCTGTTTATTACTAAATGTTGACTAACGCCTGTTTACTAGAATTATGTTTATAACCCTAAAACAAGCCTAAAATGATAAATAAAATTTTAATCCAACCATTTTCTTCCCACCGAATAAAAATTCTACGGAGGCATTGTATAGATTAACAAACTCATCTGACCCGGTAGAAGTAAGTGACACTAAACTATAATAGCTTATTCGCGCCCCTGTCAATATAAAAAGTGGCAAAAAAGTCCTTGCCGAACTGTGGCTTGCTTGTCATATCTTGTTAATTGCTTTGACGCCTGAGGTTGTTTTACATATCTTTTGACAACTGAAAACGACAACAGTGACATTCTTACCGGGTCAGGTAAGTCTGACTATATAATAATAGCGAGACATTTCGTAACTGTCGCCATTAGCGACAATGATGTTACGTCAGTACAACGCGGAAGCACTCGTGCCGAGAGGCAGCGCCTACGGTTTTGAACTTTAATGACCGAAACTATTGTGCTCATCTAGTTTTACAACGAAACATCTAGAAAAAGTGTATGAGATACGTAAAATTTTTTCACCGTTTTTCTGTTATGTACCGTGTTCTATCGCGGTTAATTCGACATGTAAATTTTACAGAAGTATAGAAAAAAGACAAAAAAAAAAGACTAGACACCGACAGTACAAAGATCTTTTGACAACTTGGGCATCAGCAGGAGACGATAATGAGGTATCATAATTTAGTTATGTTCACCGGGTCAGATGATTTTGTGGGACTATAATTCTAAACACTTTTACGTATTCTGTTTATTTATAAAAATAGTGAGTGCGTTAACTTTAACATTTTGTAATATTTAACCGCCAAACTTAGTTGATTAATGTTATTTCAGTATTAGAAATCAACACTAAGGTGCTACTTTAGTGACCATTAAAGTGCAGCAGTTAGGGCCGTATACTGTAATGGATTTAACACACCTCACTTCGTAAGCACCGTTTACACTATCACGTTCATATATATCAACATCATAGTCACGCTAACTTAGGATAGGCTCCGATCCCAAGGACGATTGGGGACCTATAGTGAACTGGCGATGATGATAGTGATAATGATGATGATGATGATGATGATGATGTATACCAAAATAAAGGAATTCAGAGTTTGTACGTGAACTTGTCATTTAAGACGTTGCTACAATTATACTAACATTATAAATGCGAAAATTTAGATGGATGGGTGGATGTTTGTAGCCTAAACGGCTGAACGTGGAATATATGTAGATGATAGTCTGGAAGAACACATAGGGTATTCACTTTTGTTTTTTTTTAATTCGACGCGAACGGAGTCGCGGGTGAAAGCTAGGTTTTTTATATTATACCGTGACGAAGGTACAAGCGGCCAATGAAATTCCCCAAAAGTACATCAGCAGTTACCTTTGATCAAGAGAAAAAGCGAAAGAGGATATTCCCTCCGTCTATGCGTCCAATTTTTAATTTACTTATTTGTTCAGTTGTCAATCACGGCAACTAAATAAAAATATAAAAATGGTTCAAAAAGAAATAGAAAGACAATAGAAAATTCACTAGTTGCAAATTGCGCGAAACACGACAATTCTCGAAAAAATGAAACTCAAACTCCGCTTGGAAAATATTTCTATTTCACAGAACTACAAAATACTAGTAAACACCGCGCCGGAGATATAAATATGCCAACGAGAAATCGTCAACAACGACCATTTTTATTGACGACTGCACTCAATACACTAATATCACTATTATCAGAGAAAAAGGTTAAAACATAAAAAATCTTAAATTAGATGTGTTGTATATTTTATATTTAAAATTATCTAAACAACCGAAAAGTACATCGTTGTATGTTAAAAATGCAATTATATTAAGTACTAGCTGTTGCCCGCGACTTCGTCAACGCAATATTAAGAAAAAAAAGTAGCATATAATATGCGAATATATAGACAAACAAAAATTTTTTAAATGCGATTTTCGTTATCAGCAACAGAAATACATCATCTTCCCGAAATCTGAAATTTTTCTTTAGATATGACAAACAGACACTCCAATTTCATTACATGTTTAGATATACAGATATGGATTATTGTTTATGACATATGCATGATATGCCTTTTATTGCAGCATTCTCTTATGTCATGTAAACGTTTCAATGTAAACTTAATATCAGTCAATGGCCTTCGGCGCACGAATGTAGAGCTGAGTGCACATTAATTGCACCAGATAATCCCCTCCTCGGCGATTTCCCTTTTGTGAGGCGAGTGCTAGACGTACCTCTCTCTTTGCGGACAGTGACACAGTGACCGTGTTAGCGGCGGGGCCCGGGCCATGCACCGACACACCGCGCTACTGTTTACACTGCTCGCGATCTTGTCGCCGTCACAAGTGACAGCTCAAGGTGCCCGCCGCTCTGAATCAGACCTTACTTTCGCAGAACTCCTCTACGTACGACTCTCTAGTGCATGTAAGTGTTATTTATAAGTTAAATTTATTTTTAATACAGATAAGTGCAGTTATAAATAAAATAATTGCTTTCGCAGGCAGAGCTCTAGTGGATCTACAGTTTAATTCAATGAGCACTCAAGATAATATTACAAAAACTATGAAAATTACCCACCTTGATGATACTATGAAAAAAACTTTTGTCATAGATACAGCATACAAAACACTGACGCAACCTGCCATGTTTGATATTACAAAGCAGACGAAAATTATCATTCACGGGTTTAGAGATAGTTCCCAATCATCGGTTTCACAGGATTTAGCTGACGCGTATAATAACAAAAAAATGTTCAATGTCTTGTTAGTAGATGCTGAAGAAATGATGAATAAGGGATACGTATTATCCGTTCACAATGCTCGTTTGGTTGGAAAGAGACTGGCAAATTTATTGGCAAATTTAGAAACCTTCGGAGCGAACGCTGAAGACTTTCATCTTCTGGGCATCAGCCTTGGCGCTCACATCGCCGGATGGACCGGTAAATATTTTCGGCAGTACAAAAGTCGTTCTTTAGGACGAATAACTGGCTTGGACCCTGCCGGTCCTTGTTTCTCATACACATACGCCGATCAGAGGCTGGACAAAACGGATGCCTTGTACGTTGATGTTGTACATTCAAACAGGTTAATTCAAGGCGTCATAGAACCATTGGGTCACGCCGATTTCTATATTAACGGCGGTGGGCCGGTGCAGCCTGGATGTATGGTGCCATCCTGCAGCCATCTTCGAGCTGCGACTGTTTACGCCGAGAGTATAAAAACACCTAAGTCGTTTGTGGGTATCAGATGTAAAAGCTGGCAACATTTCGAGCAAAATGCCTGCGAAAAAGACCTCGCTGTGCTTGGGTACGGCTCTTCGATAAAAACACGTGGACTTTATTATTTAAGAACATCTGGAAGTTCCCCCTTTGGACTTGGAATGGAGGGAACGAAAATAAAAAAACTACCTGTCGACAGTTGGTTAATGGCTTTAACTTGAACGCTATAACAACTAGTTCCTACTGTGATATTTGCCAATTATTGAACAGATTTTACGCAAAAAGCCTGAAATATGTAAAACATTTAATAGCTTTTTACGTAATTGCTTGATGTCATAAAAACAGTGAAGGTCGAACTGCATTCGTTCCGTGTGAGTCAATGTCAATAATATAGTATATTTTTATGGAACATTATTGTATACACAATAGTTTTAACTCTGAAAAACATTAAAGTTGATTTTTAGTTAAAATACATTATGCTTTTGAGAGAATGTGAAACTAGAAACTGATATTTTATTTTTTTGTAAACATTAAGAAATATCCTTTTGCAATAAATATTTTACCGTACCTAATGCTGAGACATTGCTAGCGTCTGTGTAATTGTGTTTTTACGAAGTATCTTTTAATGAAATATAAAAGATAGAAATGGAGTGTGAGAAAATCAAAGAAGTGTAAATTTTTTATAAACTTAATTTCAGAAAATCGTAATATTTTTGGTCTATAAAAGTGTGTGAAACTATAGTTGAAAAGGTAATTTTTTCGACGTTCTATGCTACTACGGGCACATTTGAAATATTTCTTAATATAAATAGTTTAGTAATAATTGTTCTTTTAAGGCGTTTCATAAGTAATAATTGTTTTGGTAATTGCGTATTATCATATTTGAATCACGTACATTGTCACTTACTTATGTTATGCTAAGTCAACAAGGTTTCAGTGGGGCGTCGCGGTGGCAAGCGCAAGCGATCCCGTGGCGTCCCACACAATGGCCAGGAGGGAACGAAGGGGTTTAGTGAGGTATGCCCCCCACTATGGGGGGAGAGTCCCACATAACTCACGTGTCTGCCCAGAGGCATGGAGTATGCAGAAAGCATTCCCCTTCGGAAAAAAAAGTCAACAAGGTTTCATATATAAAATGTGAATAATTATTCTATTCGTTAACTATAAATGATTCTTAATAAAATTAGAAGTATGAACAAGAGTCGGCCGTTTCTTACCTAAGCTCTGTTTCAATTTATCGCTTCTAACAACTGTATCGAAGGCAATGATTCGATTTATTGATAGCGGTAGAGAAAACTTATTTACGTAATGTCGGATGTTGAGAAAAAAACTAAAGAGATAACGACTCACCTCAATACTTGTGGATATTAGATTTAAATTAATATGGGTGTCTGTTTATGTATTTATTTTAAAAACGTCTTGCATAACACAACCGTTGGTTTTCACTGCTGATTACTAATCACTGCTGCTTTAATTAATGCTGGTTACTAATATTATTGCGAAAGTTTGGATGGATGGATGTTTGTTAGAGTCTGTAGCCTAAACTGCTGAACGGATTTAGACGAAATTTGGCATAGAAGTAGGGGATAGTCTGGTAGAACACAGAGTGTACTAATTTTTTTTTTAATTTTACGCGGACGGAGTCGCGGGTGAAAGCTAATAAGTTATAATGTAGACTTAAACTGGGATTAATGCTATAAATTTACAAATGATTATGTTCAATTACATGTATTGAATGTTTTAAAATATGTGTTAAATAATAAAAAAAACTGTCCATATCAACAGGATTCAATTTAATACGCATAAAAACCGAGATGTCGAAAAAAGTTGCGCCGTATTACAGATCTAATGTAGTATAGCCGCAATATGCGCAAAACTGATCTGTTTATTTAACTGACTTACCAAAAGAAGGTTATCAATTTGCCTGTATTTTTTTAAACTTCATATATCTAGACAACTTAAAATTACTATGTTAAAAATACTTTATCTTACAGAAGATTTACGTTTATGGTTGAAGTAAAACAACATAGACACTATTTTAAAATTTGAATAAAGGTTTCCTATATTTTTATGAGAAGGTTAAGTGAAAATTGATGTCATGCTTCAAGTTAGCCGTAAGTGGAAGATGAAATATTTTTATCATACATAAATATACCTTCGGGTATTCTTAGCTATAAAGTAGTTATGTAACTGGGGCTTAAAGGTCATGTAGGTTTTACAAAATACTAGTATTTCGGTCCAATACCAGTTTTTGAGGTTATATACAACATCAATGGTAGTAAATTTTATTATTATATAAAATGACTAGCTGTTCCCGTGCGGCTTCATCCGCATGAAATTATGAAAATTTTATTTTATTGTTTACATTTGTCAAATTATCTATTGCAAATGTCAAAATGACATGACGTGACAAATCTTAGCAACCTTGCTTTCTTGATGTTGGCACCAACTTATGGTCTCTTTCCCACATTAGAGTTTTTATCTAAAACATTTACCCCCTAAGTTTAATGTCGTGATAATATATAGCCTAAAGCCTGACGTAAGTGTAGGGCTTTTTATTAAAAAGAGTATTATTCAAAAATATGCTGTAATCGCTGAGATCTTAGCCAACAAAGCAGTGTGTGTTTACGCTTTATTGTAATAGTATAGATAACTTTTACAATTTAAAGAGGAATATTATATTCATATTGATCATATTTGATCGTTCTAATATTCGAAAGTTTAGATGTATGGATGGATAGTTGTTGTAAAGGATAGTCTGAAAGAACACTTAGGCTACTTACATTTGGTTTTAGGGTAGTTTTAAAGGATTAAAATTACACAAAACTGGTTAATGTTACGAAATTTATTTATTACCGACGGCTGACGGCCTTAGTTCACACAAAGGGTTGTAATTTTTTAATCTGGTACTTTAGTATTTTTATTTATTTTTGACTTAGCAGTAAATGTTATTAAGGTTCGTACACAGACACGTGGCTACGACATTTCCACCTGTCATCGCCAAAGCCAGTGGCTCGCTACCTGTTTGTGAAGATCGTTATGAGAAAAAATTGTTGCGGTTTCCAGGATGGTGTAGCTATTCTATACAATTGACATTTTAGCCGTTAGTTGTGTAATCGCTTTTCCTATATAATCCTACAAGGATCTTATGGTAGTTGGCAATTTTGTGAACTAACAATGGTATCTTGATAGCGTCATAATTTGACCAATGAGAGAGTGATTGTAATCTAATCTAATAATCTAGTCTAATATAAGGGACATGACAATAATTGTTTATTATGCTCAACACAATAAAGAACAAAACAGTGTAGAGCCTAAATTTAAATAGCAAGTAATTGCGTTTGGTTTTGTTTTCAACATAAGAGAATATCGACAAATATTAAGAACTTAACTTTAAAATCTAACTTGCGCCCCCTACGTTAATGACAAAATACTGCCAAAAGATCCTTGTAAGTCTATACTGACAGAGTCGACTACTCGCATCAACGATTCTTGTTAAAGACGAAGTTATTGTTATTCCAAAGATTTACGATTTAAAAACAAGCCACGGGATTAGATGGCATTTATCAACTTTATGTTCTAAAAATTAATAGAGATTTTAGAAGAAATACTATCTTTTTCAGGGGTTGCTTTTTGTAGACACGAGCTCTATACCAAAATAGATAACACCAGGGTCACTCCTATGTCGTTTATTGAATGGTAATTAATCGTAATGCCCTTTCGATCCTACACAGCTAGATTGTATTTGTTCCCTAACCACGCTATTTACGAGTATTTAATCCTTAAGAACGTATAGCCAGTTAGTGATAGGTAGCCTTCTATGAATGAATCAATGATTAAAATGGTGGGTGTTGACATTAGCGAAAACAATTGAAAGTAATCGTTAGTTTTTTAAATAATTAAAACTACGTTATTAGAGTTTGTAGCCTAAAATGTTGAACGGATCCCAATGAAATTTGCCATAGATGTATAAGATAGTCTGGAAGAACACATAGGCACACATTTGTTTTTTTTTACAGACGGAGTCGCGGGCAACAGCTAGTATTATAATATCTTTATAAAAAAAAATTGACGATACCTGACTGATATCCAGGAGCATGAGAGTTTTTATTAATATTTGTGGAGTTAAGAGGTTAATTAACATTTGTGGAGCACATACATTTCGTTCTAATTTCAAATTGAATTGCTTAGTCTTGTTGCGACAAGCGTCTCCTCGCGACTCTGTCTTTTTTTTTTTTTTTTTATAACATAAGATGGCAAACGAGCAAGCGGCCGCCTGAATCCGCCAAAATGGCGAAGCGACCGCTGCCCATAGACATCTGCAATTGCAGATGCGTCGCCTACCCTAATCCGATGGAGGAGAAGATGCACATAAAGAGGATATTTCCTCTTCGTATGCATCTCCTCCATCGTCAAATCCACTTCCCCTTCCCATCCTCTCATAAGAAAAGGGTGGTAAGGAGAAAGGGACTTAAATTAGGCCTCCGGCACCACACTCATCAGACGAAACACGGCATTGGTTCCATTTCACGCCTGTATTCTGTGTGGTCGTGGTATTACACCGGGCGTGCCGGCCCATTCGTGCTAAGATGTTAAAGCGGGCACTACCACTGTCTGCGCGGAATTTTAAAAAAATCACGTACGCTATGTATTTTTTAGACTATGGTCTACATTTGTGCGTTTCGTCAAGATTCATGAAGTGGTTTTGAAGATACGAATTAACAAACATCCATCCATCCAAACTTTTGCATTTATAATATTAGTTTAATTGGTGTTGGATACCTCCATGTCGTAATGTTTAATGACAAATTAATTTACAGTATGTGTAATTAAGAAATTTGAATCTGTGTGATTACAGTTACAAAAACTGTTGGTTTTAAGAATAAACGTGGCAGGGTGAACGGAGAATGGCTAAATGTGAAAAATATTTTAATGGAGAAATAATATATAAAACATAACGTTTTCTCTTTCGTTTTAAGAACTTCATAAACAATCAATAATGAAATATAACCTTAAGTACTTTTTTTTAAAACGAAAGCATTTCTGAACAGTAAAATATTGGTAGAATTCAATAGCAAGCTAGAACATATTACAGATGACGATATATATCTAAAAAACACTGCGTGTTTATTTGAAACATTGCCAAGTGCCAGTATGTACAGAAATAATTTGCCTTTTACTTTCCTCTTAGGATCCGTTCAGACAGAAAGGAGCGCAAAGCAGAATAAATTTTCATCGCAAATAAAATAGAGCTTTACATGATAGAAACAAATTAAATAAAATCTAGTTTTTTTTTGTAATTGTATGTCGCCCGCAAACCGTGTTAGCGCCGAATTAAAAAAAATACCACCTATTTCAATCATATTCTACCAGCTACCTTGCAGTTAAATTCCGTTCAACAACGGT